AGTGCAGTGGCACGATCTCAGCTCACTGAAATTTCTGCCTCCCGGGTTTAAGCAATTCTCATGTATCAGCCTCCCGAGGAGCTAGGACTACAGGTGCACACCACCACATCCGGCTAATTTTTGTATTTTTAGTAGAGACAGGGTTTCACCCTGTTGGCCAGGCTGGTCTCAAACTCCTGGCCTCAAGTGATCTGCCCACCTCGGCCTCCCAAAGTGCTGGGATTATAGGCGTGAGCCACCGTGCCCAGCCTAATTTTTCAGAGACAATGTCTTGCTACATTGCCCAGGTTGATCTCAAATTCCTGGCTTCAAGCAGGAATCCTCCTGCCTCAGCCTCCTAAGTTGCTGAGATTATAGATGTATGTCACCACACCCAACTGGTTTTCTACAATATGAAGGCCAAAAATATTGGTTGTTGTGTTTAATTCCAAGTACACTAAAAATGGTTCCTTCTATCTTCTGATATCACTGGTTTGTACAGGGGGGAAAAAATCAACCGTAAGAAAAAGAAATTAGATATGAAAAAAAGAACTCAAAACATCACGATTTGCAATTACAACTGATAATGTGTGTCATCTTCTGATACTCTTCAGTGTCCAATTAAAATCACACTCTATCTGGCAATCTATAGTCACAACTACCTAAAATGCCTTAAGGAAGTAGGAATAAAGAAGTCATGTAGCTTTAACTGAAGCACTACTTTTTTGAAGAATAAAAGCATTCTTTTCTTTTTTAAAATGTCACCTGACACCAAATATCTGATTGGAAGAGTTGCTGTTTTAAATTTGCAGGGGAACCCTCAAGATTGATGCAAGAATTGAAGAAAACAGAAGTAAATTTTCTCTTCCTTGTATAGGCTTAACATTATTGAATATAATATGCCTACTCTCAATAAAAATGAAACAACTCAAAATATTTAAAAGATACTTTTTTCCTGAAGACTTCAAGTCTCAGTTTATCCTAAACTTTATGATTTCACATTCTCTCAATAAATTCTACATTTCCTCAATAAGATCTTTTTGACCATTCTAATGTGAAGCAATTGCTGCTTGAATTCCTAACACAGTTTCTCCACAGAATTCATTCCACAACTGATCATACAACATCTTGTGATATTTAACAGTGTCCTCACTGTCAAAGGAAGACTAACATTTATTGAATGCCTTGTATAGTCAGAGCATTGTGGGGCATGAACAGATGAATATGAATGCCCACGATTTTAAGAGAAAGAAATGCACATAGTAATTCAGCACTAAGCAGAGTATAGTAAGTACAATAAATAAGAACACAGAACAAGGAAGTACAAAGCAAACAAAATAATTCCAATCATGACATTGGGGGCAGCTCTGGAAGAAAGATGCGGGACGGGGCATCCCAATGAAAGAAAATGCTTCAAAAAATGGAAGAAGAAAGCGGACAGCATATTTTAGGAAGGGAGAATAGATGAAGAGCAAGGCAGCCTGAGGGATTTTAATTAGCAGGAGATAAAGTTAGACTCAGGACACACAGAATACGGGTCTGAATGCCAAGCCAAAGTGCGTAGATTGTATTCTATGTTAATAGACAAAAACTGAAGTTGGCAAACGGGAAGAAAGTCATTTAGACCTATGCTTTCAGAAAGGATAATTTGTAACTGTATAAAAGTTAAATCAGGGATAAGACTGAAATCAAAGAAAAAAATTGGAAGAATATTATAATAGTCTAGGTAAATGTGGTGAGTACTTACTTGGGTCAGCAACAGTGGGAACAAAATGGAATGGGTTGGAAAGATTGGTAAAATAAAATTTTAAAACTAGTTGGAAGTTGAGAATTGGTCAGAGAACAGTCAAAGACAGCCCTAAGCAATGAGGTAGCAAGAGGAACGAGGTATTGATACATTCACTGCCCATGTGTTTTGGTTTTGCTTCACAAACAGACCACAAGAGAGTAAAAGTGATATAAAGTGGTTTAACAGTTATGATTCTAAAGTCACCTAGACCTTGCTCAAGTTACAGGTGCTTCAGTAATCAGCTACGTGTTCTTGGATAATTAAATTCATCTCTATAAGCCTCATATTCTTCACCTATAAAATGAGGATATTAACACCTGCCTCAAAAAGCTGTTGAAAGGATTAAGTGAGATGATGCATGTAAGGCACTTTGCAGAGACTGGCACATGCTAAGTGCTATCATAATCTTCTGTTTGAAGGGCAGGGAAAATATAATACTACTGTCTCCTTCATAATGCCAAAATCTGAAAAGTTCAAATATTTGTAATTTGGGGAAAAAAAATCATGATGTGATCTAAAATATGGTCATTAACTTTAACCTACATTATATACCCACTGTTACAGTTACCCATAAGCAGTAGGAATAAAATCCTTTTGTTTTCTGTGGTCACCCTCTAGTGGTGATCCTAAGAAACTTAAAAAAAAAAAAAAAAAAAAAAAAAAAAAAAAAAAAAAAAAAA